CCTGTTAGGGGTCCCAGCTATGGGCAAATGATTAACACCCAAATTTGTGTAAAAATAGTTATTAATACCAGAAATACATTGTAATAAAAAAAAATTATTACCAGCAATAATTTTTGAAGGAAAATTATTATCAGCAATACTTAAAAAAATACCGGCAATACAAACACTTATACATTCTTTGAAAAAAAAAATATGACCAGTTATAAATTTTTTCAAGGAAAAATATTCCTAGAAATACATTTTTGGAGAAAAACGTATTACCAGCAATAAAAATGTTGTCGCCATTAAATAACTCATTGAGTTTGCTATGCTGTAAATCAAACCAAAACAAACCAAACGACATCCGACTGCAAAGCCTGTAATTCTTTAGGGTCCGAGCGATGGGCAAATAGTTAAACCTCCTAATTGGGTGCAAAACACTAAGGAAGTGTAAAAATATGCTTTAATACAAACAATACTTTTTGTAAAAAAATTATTACAAGCAATACATTTTGGAAAAAAAAATTATTACCAGCAATCAAAATGTTGTCGGCATTAAATAACCCATTGAGGTTGATATGCCGTAAAACAAAATTAACCAAACCAATCTAAACCAAAGAATATATATTATATTCATACGAATCTATCCTAAAAATGTTGTCGTCATTAAATAACCCATTGAGGTTGATATACCGTAAAACAAAATTAACCAAACCAATCTAAACCAAAGAATATATATTATATTCATACGAATCTATCCTAAAAATGTTGTCGTCATTAAATAACCCATTGAGGTTGATATACCGTAAAACAAAATAAACCAAACCAATCTAAACCAAAGAATATATATTCCATTCATACGAATCTATCCTAAAAATGTTGTCGTCATTAAATAACCCATTGAGGTTGATATGCCGTAAAACAAAATAAACCAAACCAATCTTAACCAAAGAATATATATTCCATTCATACGAATCTATCCTAAAAATGTTGTCGGCATTAAATAACCCATTGAGGTTGATATACAGTAAAACAAAATAAACCAAACCAATCTAAACCAAAGAATATATATTCTATTCATACGAATCTATCCTAAAAATGTTGTCGGCATTAAATAACCCATTGAGGTTGATAAGCCGTATACCAAACCAAACCAAACCAAACCAAACCAAAAACTAAACCAATGAGCACTTATTTAAATACAGATGAGTTCACTGTTTTTTTTTGTTTTTTTTTTTTGATTCATGAATTTTGTCAGTACAAAGAAAATTCCTCGGACTTTTAAACACAGATACTTAGCTGTTTTCTTTTTCTCGCCTAATCTCTCTCAACCTTCCTCACACAATGTACACAGTCGATAAACAGCTGTTCGCTTCTGATTGCCAACGAATTGTTTTCAAAGCTGGTGTTGTGATCTTTTCTTTTCTCTCTTTTACTCCATTTCTCGATTTTTTTAAATAGCAATTTTGTTTGAATATTTCTTTCATCTTGTTTTAAGTCATTCATGCATTTTTTTTTCGTTATTTTTTATTTGGACATTTCTTTTCTTTCATCCTTTTTTTCCCCCAGATTAATCGCAAACAAAACTCCGTCCCACTTGAATCACTCCCCCAGCCAGCCTGCTACACACCCCCAATCCACCCGACAACTATCAACACAGACAAAATCGATCGTACCCAACAACCCACGAAATCAACACAGGCGTCTACTAATCATTTTACTTTTAATCTCTTTTTAAGAAATTTCTGACACTATACCGTGGAAATTTAATTCTTTCTTTGGATTGCCAATCCTCTCAGGGGATTAAACTAGTGCTTACATTCTGTCATAACTAGCGAAACGATCAATCTTCCCACGGTAATGTACTGAGTACTATTAATGCGGCTTTTTTTGTCGATGGTTTTCAAAGTGATGACAATGATTAATTGTAGCTTGGTTTCCAAAGAGCCGTTCTCCGGACAGAACCGCCTCGTTACACTAATCGACATGGATTAAGAGTCTAAGAGAAACGAGTAAATTAGGGATGAAGCACCGTAAATATTTTTACAAAAATCCGTTATATATGGCAGGGATACAATTAACCCATCACATTTAATTCTGAGATTCTTACACATATTGCCTTCCATATTCTGATAACTTTTTTTTGGTTACTTTACTCTGCTACTTACCAACTTATTTCAGTGACTTCTTATATGTTTTATCTGACTTACTTTTTCTTTTTTTCAGTGTAAAGTTACCAAGCTTTTCTCAGGAAACTATTATAGTCCAATACACTGAGTACCCCTTGATGGAGTTACTATACAAGAGAAAATATACCCAATATTATTTCTCTATTATAGACATTACTTAACACCTTAATAAACGGACGGATCAGAATATTTGACAGAAAGAAATCATAAACATGAATTGTACCAAAAGAAATTTTATACCGATATATACATACTTATATACAAATTTGTCCCACACAAAGAAACTATAACATATGTATACAACAAACAATGTGAAAAGGGTCATTTATTTGTAATATTTCATTTTTTCAGGAAGAAACCACGTGGTAGGGACGTCATGGCTCTAGGCGTGATAAGTATAACTAGGCCATTTGTCACTCTCTGAGCTGACGTCACTAACCGGCCATCATGTGACACGCGTGACTACATCTCAACCAAAGGGAGATAATTTCCATTTGCATCCCGGTATCTATCTTTCTAATTATTTTTTTGTCAATGCTTCTTCTTCTTCTCCTCCTCTATATCCCCTTTGTTTTTTCTCCTCCTCCTTCCCATCCTTCTTATCCTTCATCTTCTCCTTCTCCTTGTCCTTCTCCCCCTTCTTCTTCCACTTCTTCTTCTTTTCCTTATCCTTCTAACCCTTCTTTTTCTCTTCCTTCTCACCCTTCTTCTCCTTCTTCCACTTCTTCTCACCCTTCATCTTTTCCTCCTCCTTCCCATCCTTCTCACCCCTGTTCTTCTTTTCCTCCTCTTTACCATCCTTCTTCTTCTTCGTCTTCTTCTGCTCCTTATCCTTCTCACCCTTCTTCTTCTTCTTCTTCTCAATCTTCTTCTTTTCCTCTTCCTTCCCATCCTTTTCAACCATATTCTTCTTCCACTTCTTCTTCTTCTTCTCCTCCTCCTTTTCACCCTTCTTCTTCTCTTCCTTCTCACACTTCTCCTCCTCCTTCCCATCGTTCTTCTTCTTCTTCTTCTTACCAGTTTTTTCCTAGTCTTCATTTATTTAATCTTTCTCAATGGAAAACTTCCAACCGTTTGCCCACCGACTCCAATCAATCGAAAAGCTCACAGTTTCTTTCAAATAAAATCCCAATTAGACAAACTTTACAATAATTACATCGCGTCGGCCGATACTTTGCTGTCGCCATAATTCAAAGGTAGACGTCATAGTTTCCGTATCTAATATATATCTATATCTATCTATCTATATATATATATATATATATATATATATATATATATATATATATATTAGTTTTTGTTCACACACACACCATATATATATATATATATATATATATATATATAAAAAACATCGAAATCAACACTCAGATGGGACAGGCTGTTTTATGCTAGACGCAATCGTCAGGCCGCGAACGGCCTCTCGCCTCTGCGTGTTAAATTCAATGTTCACTTTTATATTTATATTTACGTACGCTCTAATTCTGATATTGAGCACTTTATCCCATAAATATACCACACCTTAAAACTATATTGCTTCATATATATATATATATATATATATAAACAGACAAATACAAAATTACCCACAAATACAAATACTTTTTCACACACACACACACACACACACACACACCAGTGACCACTTGAATCTTAGTGGCATTATCGCCTGGCAATTAAATGCCATCTTGAGACTAAGTGCGTAGTGTTGACTGAATGACTTCTTCAACAATAGCATATAGACTTAGTGACGTTGCAATGTATTTGTGGAAGTATATTTTCGCGCTCCCTAATATATGTGTGTGTGTGTATGTATGTGTGTGTTTCACAGATTTTATTTGTTCGCCAAAAAATAATCGATTAGTGAAATTTTGAAATGTAATGTTTTTTGTTAAGCTGTGTCTTTAATTATAGTTTTTGATATCAAGATAATTGTTCTCAAGATAATGTTATCAGGCTATTGAGATCAAGATACTGATATCAAGATAATGTTTAATAACAAATAAAATATGTTCTTATCAGTATTTGAGTTTCACATAATTTCATCCGTTCTTCACCGGCCTTGCATATAATATTTTACAGTTACGTCCCCTGACAAATAATTGTAACTCCGAGAAATTCAGCGTAGAGACAATATAAGTGAAGTCATTTAATTTTACACACATATTATATATATACGCTTAACACCAGTCCAAAAAAGCCATTTCAATCACTACCACACATATGTTATAATGTTTTATAATATGTGGAAATATCTACTCTTTATTTGGTGAATGTCGTAAAACCAGAAACACGTGTAGCATAATTAGGGGAAATAGATTATGATATATGTTTAAAAATATAAATTCCACATTTCAACTAAAAACGTTTGCGGTTTATATTCTTTTTAAATGTTATTAATACTGTTTATTATAAAACAGAGCATTTACTAAAATATTTGTATCTATAAAAAGTATATATATATAACCTCTTCCCTATATATATAATACCACGTTGTCGTGTAATTACTCATACATAGAAAGATTTGAAGCTTAGGCTTAGTAATCCCATAATTCTTATTTTCTTCGTCGATTTTATTTCGCAGTCTTCTCGCCTTCGTCTCCCTGGATCCCTAATTAAATATCGTGAAATTGTTGGTTCCTATTTGACAATGCCTTTAGGCATTCACCACCTTGTGGCGCTTCGCCATGAGGTCCTAATTCCATTTCGCGAGAGAGAAAATGAGTTGATTTTACGTCAGGGGTCTACGTTAAGTACACAGAAATACACAGAATGCACCTTAAAGGTAACAGATGGAGCCGTGTACAGGGCACCCGCCTGGGGACATAGCTGTTAAGCACTGCCCTCGGATTTATGTGTACAAGTAATGGCGGGGGTGTTCCGGCAATTGTGGACGATGCTTGGGAGAAAGAACAAATAATGTGTAAAAGGAAAATAGTGGGTTACGAGCAGCAATTGAGTGAAAGGGGAAGAAAGAGAGAGAGAGAGAGAGACGGTGAGAGTGAGTAAAAATAAGAATGACAGAAGAGAGAGGGAAAAAAAGAAGGGTGTCTTCAGGATGTCGGTTATAAGACTCTCCACGACTTCCTGTCTTTACTAAATCGAAGTATTGTTTGTCTCCTTACTCTACCTTCTATTCCTGATACTACCGGCCATTAACACAAGTACTTCATGTATGTTACAGACTGACATATATATATATATATATATATATATATATATATATATATATATATATATATATATATACAGGTTGATAGATAGATAGATAGATAGATAGATAGGCAGTAAAAGACAGTAAAAAAATGCAGTAAATAATATAATTCCAGGAAATAGATATATCTAAACAAACTGAAATATGATATAATATAATATATATATATATATTATATATATATATATATATATATGGGGGGGTAACTATACTCGGTTGGTGAAAAACCGAGATGACACAATTCGCAAATATAAATATTTCGAAACAAATTGGTACCTGGAAAAAAAAAATAAGAAAAAAAAAGACCTAAGAACATCTGAGCAGGGCGAAAAAAATCGTCCATTTCCTTAAATTCCTGTCCAAAGAAGAAAAGAAAAAAACAATCGAGTAACTCAGATAAAACGTAAAGTGCTCAATACGCTAAATATAGCAGAAAATGAAAAATTCTAATCAACCAGGAACTACCTACCCAGGTTTCACCTAAACGGAGCTTCAAGTTAAACTAGCCTCAGTTTACTCAAAGGAAGAGAGAAGAAAGATTTTACACATTGTCCATTGTCCCAAGCGCTTTCGACCACTTATTTAGCAATATATTAAGTAATGTTATAAATAATTTGTTTTTGCTTATCCACTGATATATATTTATTTAAAAAAAAAAAGAAAAAGTATAATCACATTTTACTCAACTATTTTCTAAAAACATCCTGCCACTAACCAACCTACACTTCGATACACTTTGAAAAAAAAAAAAAAAAAAAAAACGGTTTTGATGTGAAAAAGTTTACGATGAACTTTTGGATAAGATTTTCATTAAAATAAATTTTCCCGTTGAAGGCATTTTGTAGCGATCCAAGAAGGTAATAATCGGTTGTAGTAAGGGTAACTGAAGATGCTGTGCGCGATTGAATAGACCAACTCATATTAAAAATCTTTCCTTTATTATTCTTGCGGTAGGAAACTTTGCGTTATCATAAAAAATGGCAGCATTTTTCTTTAAAATCCTCAATGTCTGCTGCCATTGCTGTGAAAACTAATGTAATTTACTTTACTCCAAATTTATTCTTAACTGACCGTATGGTTAATTGTTAGGAAGACATGTTGCAATTACAAATAGTTTCCCCATCACAAAATTTACTTATGACTCATCATTATATATATATATATATATATATATATGTTATGAAATGGAAAATTCCGGCAATTATTTTAAGATATAGTCATGGAGAATTGTAGTTTTAAAACAGTAAAATCGACCTTGCTCCTCTGTGGCTAAATCGGTAAAAGCACGTCAGGCTATATGACGGTTCTGTATAGGATACAGGTTCGATTTCTGTCGGAGGACGAATATTTTCTATGAAAATTTCCGGGACATTCAGGCTGGTAAATGTTATGAATACTGTTTATTATAAAACAGAGCATTTATTTAAATATTTGTACTTATAAAAAGAATGTATACACAAAAAAAATGTCTTAAACATCGACATCCGGTAGACAGAAGAGAAATAGAGGGAGAGAAAGAAAGAGAGATGATCAGACAAGACAAAAAAATCAAGCGAAATAGATAAATAGATAGATATTAATAGACTGAGATATATATGATTAGACTGAATTAGATAGCTAGCTAGCTAGAAAGATCGGTAGGTATCAACACACTGAGATAGATATGAATAGATTGAAATATGAATAGATAGATAGATAGATAGATAGATAGATAGATATGAATAGACCTAGACAGACAGATAGATAGATAGATAGATAGATAAAGAGCTATGAATAGACTAAGACAGACAGACAGACAGACAGATAGATAGATATGAATAGACTGAGATAGATATGAATAGATTGAGATAGATATGAATAGACTTAGATAGATAGATAGATAGATAGATAGATAGATAGATAGATAGATAGATAGATTGATTGACATAGATATGAATAGACTGAGACAGACAGATAGATTGATATGAATAGACTGAGATTGATATGAATAGACTTATATAGATAGATAGATAGATAGATAGATAGATAGCTATGAATAGACTAAGACAGACAGACAGACAGATAGATAGATATGAATAGACTGAGATAGATATGAATAGACATAGATAGATAGATAGATTGACATAGATCTGAATAGACTGAGACAGACAGATAGGTAGATAGATATGAATAGACTGAGATAGATATGAATAGACTTAGATAGATAGATAGATAGATAGATAGATAGATAGATAGATGTTTTTATAGGCTGACATGTTGGAAGAAACTACAAAACAACATTTCCACCGTGGCAGAAGGAAATAAAAAGAAACGAAGAGAGAAGTGATGATGACTAATTGGACAGAACAAACCTCGTTCTATTTTTATCTGAAAACATCGGTACGATCTGAAAAAAAGTTCCTACGGACTCCGTTCTCATCGACTGGGCAGTTGGCAAGACGCAGCTGGTGACTGCTTCTCGCAGGGAGCTGACATTTCGACATCGTGTCAGTGAGCTATTGCACAGGATGAGCAAACCCTGTTGGAACCTTGTCAGCCATAAACGGTAGGCGTCGAGTTGTCATTGACACCGGTGCCAACAGGACTTCCTGTTGACCGCTGCGGCTTCCGGTTGAAGTGTTCAAAACGGAAGTTTGATTAGATACTCTCTTGGGCTCTCTGAATGATTTTTTTTTCTTTTTTAAATGCGAGTTATTCGTTTAGTGAGCCGGATAGACTCAAGTTTAGAAAGTGAGGAAGAGATAACGTCCATTTTGAACAGGTAGAAACCGATGGATGATAAATGGCGGGAAAGTATGAAAACAGTAATAATCAAAGCGTAAGGGTTGAAGAAAAAGGAATGCCCGGATGGAAAAGGAAAAAAGAATAAAGAAGATGGTTGCTAAAATTAAGTAGAGCTTTCAGAAAAACTAAAGCAAAAGTTTCCAATGAGAGAAGGATATAAATATAAACATGAAACATTATTTAATGGAGGCCAAAAATGGAATAAATATATGAAGGCAAACGTGTACAAATAGATAGATAGCTATAGTTAGAGATAAATAAATAGTTAGATATAGATAGACTGGAATCTATCTATCGATATATATATATATATATATATATATATATATATATAGAGAGAGAGAGAGAGAGAGAGAGAGAGAGAGATATTTAGATTGATAGATAGAAAGAAAGAAAGAATGGAGACAGACAGACAAACAGACAGACAGATAGATATTGTAGAGGCTGAGATAGATAAATAGATATAAATAGACTGAGATACTAATGTAGATATTAATATTAGACGAGTAGAAATAGACAGAAACACACACACACATATATATATATAATGAAGTTCGACAAGTATTTTTAATATATTTTCTGTACGTACGTTTGGGTACCTCGAGGTGGTGTAATGGTTAGGAAGTTTGTCTCGCTAGAACAATTCCGACTTAGTAGTGAGTTCGATCCTCACTGTGTACCCCATGCTTTTGGTCTTCTCCCACATCTAAGCTGCGCTTGGTAAATAACTATTTTATGTTCATACGTTATTTTATAGATACAAATAATATAAGTAAATCTTCTGTTTATAATAAGCACTATTGCAAACAGTTAACGGCCTATACGTCCGATAATTTTTCATAGAAAATATATGTCCTTCGAAAGGAATCGAACCTGTATGCGACACGGAAACGTAATATAGCCTTACGTGCTATACTATTCAGCTACAGAGGAAGCGTCTGGTTAGCAAGGTGAATCATTGCTTTTAAACTACAAATTTCCCATGATTTTTCTGGAACGATCCTATCTGCTCGAAGTGTATATTAACGTAATAAATGACGTCATATATTTTGAAAATGAACTAAGCCCGACAATTATTTCAGTATAGTTATTGTTTCTGCGTTATTTTTATAGATACAAATATTTAAGTAAATTCTTTGTCTATAATAAACAGTATTAACTATTAGGTTGGTGCAAAAATAATGACGTAATAATGTCGTTTTTTGACGTTAAAGATACGTCATAAAACGACATTACTACGTCATTATTTTTGCACCAAACTAATACATTTACCGGCTTGAAAGTCCGAGAAATATCGTAGAAAATATGTGTCCTCCGACAGCCATTGAACTTGTATTCTGACGTGCTATACCATTTAGCTACATAATATATAATTAAATTTAAAGTTTTTAGCTTCAGCTTTTGAAGCATGGTTATTACTGTGTAGCGGAAAACATATTTTCAATCAGTTAATTTATAATATTTATGCTCAGTAAATTTACATTGAGCACTGTTTTTGTAAAAATAAAAAATATCAATAAGAACACCGGGTTATATATTTTACTGTTCTTTCTTTTTAGTTTTATATACATACATACATACATACATACATACATACATACATATATATATATATATATATATATATATATATATTGTGTATATTTAGGCAGCAATTTTTCATTAATGTACGTTTCATTAAATAATATAGACAGGTTTTGTTATTTATTTTAAGTAAATTTCTCTCATATTGTCTGATACGGTTAATCGCATTATCTTTGAAAGACGAAAGGAAATCACCATATTGATACATGTTTAATCCAATCTAAACTTTCGGCTTACATAAGCCATTATCAAAGATGACAATTTCAATAAATCAAACATGTATGAATATGGTGATTTCCTTTCGTCTTTCAACGATAATGTGATTAATCTTATCAGACAATATGAAAGGAACTTACTTGAAATAAATAGACAAAACTTGTCTATATTATTTAATGAAACATGCATTAATATATATATATATATATATATATATATATATATATATACTTAATAGAAATCGTATAAGTATAAGAAACTATAGTTGCTCGGAAAACTTTCGGTATATTGATTTGCAAATGAACAAGCCAACACAAAAAGAAAAAAAAAGATATAAAAAAGGTATATAAAAAGAAAGAACCAGGAACATGTACGTTAACCGAAAATAATCGTCCAGCATACGAGTTCAAGCCCCCCTCCAAAAAAACCCCGATGCGAGTATCTAAAATAACTAAATAAAGTGCTCAATACAATGAGTAGAGCAGACCTAGTTAAACCTAGAGAGCCAGACAAACCTACCAAGGTTTCACCAAGTGTTCCCTGACGATCCGCTTATGTGAAACCTTGGTAGGTTTCTCTGGCTCTCTAGGTTTAAATATATATATATATATATATATATATATATGTTTGTATGTATGCATGTATGTATCGGAAGTGCAATGTCTAACACGTAACCGCCTTTCCGGAATAAAGCCGTCAAATGGTCATAATAGGCAGCTCCACATTGTTTTAGTTTCTACCGTCTTCTGCGTCTTCTGCTGCGTTTGATGACGTAAAGCACTCCTTTGTGTGACTGACCAGTCATCAGAGGCACGGCAATCAACAAAATCGTTGATCCTTCCAAAGCTTTAGTCTCAAAATGCCTCCATTTCCCTTCAACTTCTCTGTCTGTCTATCTCTCTCTCTCTCTATATATATATATATATAGAGAGAGAGAGGGGAAAATAAATTATCGAGAATGGATATATATATATATATATATATATATATATATATATCTCGACTTTGTTGCCGTTTCTCAGATGACTTGTCAAATCTCACAAAGAAGAGGCTTGCATTTCGGCATCAACCGCAGGGAAAGGCGAGGAAGCCGGTGGAAATATATATGTATATAATTCTAATTTGTAGTAGGAAATTGACTCTTTGGAGTTGATTTAACAGCTGTTTCCTCTGATATTTCAAGCCTCATTCAATGGAATTTCAATTGAGCAAATAATTTATTGATTCTTAGTTACGACGACTGACAAAGCCAAATTCATGGTCAACAGTCATTTTACGTTGCCATCGGTCAACGATTTGCAACGCACCTGTTGCACTGAATGTGAGACAAGTGGACAGAAATCATTTTTTTTACTTTCCCCGAATAAGTAAAAACGTATCATGTTTTATTAAACATGTGCTCATATACATTGACACGCTTCTTAATACACACACCGCATGCATGTATACAAAATCAGATATTTATTCATCAAGTCTTCGATCTGAAAAAGAGAAATAGCTTAGGAAGATAGCGTTTCTTAATTTATCACATCAAATTTTATTTTTAGTGGATACTTGCTCATCCGCAAAAAAAAACAGACTCCACATCTCTCTCTCTCTCTCTCTCTCTATATATATATATATATATATGTGTGTGTGTGTGTGTAAAAATATATAGAAAATAGGAAAGAACTCGTTAGGTAAATAATCCAAAATTCTTTAGTATTTTTGTTATTATTTTTAAAAAATAGTGCTCGATACAAAAGTATCATAAATATAATTATATATTTAAAAATATGATTCTAACGCTACATAAGAGTTCTCATGTTTCAAAACAAGAGCCGAAAACTTCAATATAATTATTTGAATTAAATTGAAGTACCAAGCTCTGTTCCATCTTCAAACGAAATATTTTTTGGAATAATTATTTCTTTGTACGTTTGTACAAAATGTGGCACAAGGCCTAAAAGGGGGTTGGGGAAGGACGGTCTTCTGTCTTAATTCTAAACTTAGTTAGTCACAGACACGGACCCAAACATACCAACAATATTCCTATCACCAAAACAACACATTCACTCCTACGTTTCTTACTGCGTCCACCATAATACCTGAAATTCTCTATGAAATCCTAACTAGTCCCCATATGTACATTTCAAAGTCTGTTGAGGGAGGGGAAAAACAACAATTTAAAAAAACCCAATGATTATTTACAATATGATTTAACACTATTTACATAAAACAAAACAAAAAAGGGTTAGTAATAAAAAAACCACAATCCCTAAATGTGGCAGAAACATCAGTTAACTGGACGAAATAATTGCGACTATTATAAAAAAATTATAAAAACAAGCACGCCCACAAATACGCACTCATTTAAACACAATAACAAATACGAAAAGACACATACGAAAACGAAAGTCATCCCGCAACAACCAGAGAACTGACATCACTGACCACCTAACGAGGGAGGGGATGGGGAATTAAACAAAAGAAAAATAGGGACAGAAATAAAAGGGGCCAATGAGCATTCATACCCTAGCTAAGTTAAATGAAAAAACGGGAAACTAAATATTAAAATAAAAAACCTAAACTAACCTAATATCGGGGTGGGTTGCCTCTGTTCAACCCTGTTAATCAAAATCCTGATGCCTAACCGACATCCAAAATGCCACTCCAGGTCAGCCCCTTTCACGTGCACAAACGCGCAAGATTCACCCACCTTTTGCCAAATTCTTGAAGTCCGTTTTTCGTCCTAATCTTGACTTTAAGCAGATGCTTAAAGTACAAGATCATTTGGGAAGAAGTGAACTTCTCCCCTTCATAGAATCCCTTCTGACGTGTCGTCCAAATCACGACTCTCATAACACCCAGCAAGCATAAGAACACGTTCAAATGTTCAGCCTTCGTCAACGGCGGTGCC